AAACACAACTATTACCTTTTCAAAGTTTTCTTCATACATTACCATGTTTTATGTATTTGCTCTAATGGTGTCTCTTTCATTGTTTGTTTTGACTTTAGTTGAAGAAGATGTTTTATGAACGTTAGGGTTATACGTAAAGTCTAAATGAATGTAAAAATTTCAAAAGCATTTAACGGGTATAAATTATTCGCGGATAAAATTAGATTGATAGGATTTATTTTGGTTTTGTTTTTGTCTATTTAAGTAAATTTACATAAGATTACAAATGTAAAATAGAAATTTTTATAAAAGTGGATAGATAGATATATAAGAATGGTGAATGGCTTCCTTTTGGACTGGCTTTATTATAGTTTTTTCTTCCAATGGAGGTTAAGGGTTGATTAAATTGTGTTTTTATCAATGGAATTTTTCAGTTTGTCACTTGTATTGATTTGGTTTTCCTCGAATTTGCTTTTTTCCCGTGGTTTTGGTGGTAGAAATAAATCCAGTGCTGCATCTCTTGAATTTTTCCGTGGTTATCGCTTATTCCAGTAATAGATTGTTTTGGAGGATACGAATACCATTAATATTAGCTTTCTGTTATCAATGTGTTTTTTTACTTCCATGGATTATTTATCAGCTTTTTTTTCTTTCATTCCTGATATGATAACCAAGTCATAAGTTCAAACATTTTACATATGTTGGCTTATGCTTCTTTAGTTAAATGTATATTGAGTTATGGGTTTCGCAGTTTGTGAAAATATCCTGAATTGCAGCTACAACTTTTAGAATTCTACTTCCCTTTGCTTCTTGGAACCACTTGGGACCAACTTAGAAAGCATAAGAAACGAGTTTGGAGGGTGAGGGATGGTCTGAATATGGTTGGGTCATTAATATGTTCTTAGGAGGTAAGAAAAGGCTGATAGAGAAAAGTTAAAACAGGCACGAGGTGGTTGTTTCAGGTCAAAATCTGGTTTTACACCCATCTTTGCAAATTCAAATCAGATATTTCCAACAAATATTCACCTATTTACAACCTATCTTAATTGCCATAAGATCTCTAGAATATGACAAACAGGTAATTGTGAGTTGTGTATTCGTGTAGACTCCGTATACCAAGACTATAAAAAATACTATTCAAAAAATACATTAATACTCTAATGTGTCTATAGAGTAATTGTGTCCAATACCTTATGGCTTTCGTTAGGGCCTACATATAAAGGTGGTAGGTGGTAGGTGGTCAGTGTTCTAAAAGGCGCGCCTAAGCGTGAGGAGATGCCAAAATGCCGAGCCTAATGGGTTAGTGTCATATTTGGCGGTCAAGACGGATGTTGATCGTTAATTGCCGCCTAGACGCGGTTTTTTTTTATTGCAATTCTTTTGAAGTTAAAAATTAT